CAAACCCTCAGCCAGCTGAATGTTCCCGCCTGTGCGAACACAGGCTTCCGAATGCTGCAAAGATTGAGGATTCTAGAAGTTATTAAGTTTATCATCACAGTTCAGGTACATGAGATTGATCAGACCTCATGTCCTGGCAACCTGACTGGAGCTTCGTTGCACCAGCCCCTTCAAGTGCCCCTGGTGCCCCTGCAAAATTGTTCACTGCCATCCCTCAGGAAATGGCAATAGCTGTCGAAGAAATGCATTCGGATGGGAATGCACTTCGATGGGACATGACTCCCTCAAGTTCAGACCGAGAACCATACCCACACACACACACACAGGCTAGCTGTAGCGTAGCTTCATCATGCTCGAGCCAGGCAGAGTGGAACTATCCTTTGGACAGGGCACCCGAAATCGGGGAAGCCGAAGACCTTGAGCCATGGATCATCCGCAAGGGCCATCGGCAGCAGGCGCGAGGTAACAACTTCTTTTCGCTCTTTCTCCGACTCTAAATTCCACTTGACTCTCTGCAGGTATGTGCTGGTTCAAGCCTGGATATGCATTCATGCAGGTTCTCCGAAGTGTGTGACGAGGCATGGAAGTGAACCTCAAGAATCTGAACTTCTATTTGTCTCCCCAGCCAGTCCTGTGTTTATCCTGCTACATGAGCCAAGCAGATTTGGGGACAGGCCATCGCTCGAACAGCCAACAAGCAGTGCTTCGGCACCTTTTGGCTGCATGATCGCGCATGCAGGTGCCGATAAGCTGAATGGTTCGAACATGCAGAGCAGTAATTAGTCTTATTGAAGGGATACCCTCCGATCAGAGCCGTATCTTGGACTTCTGCATCGGGTCCACAGCCTCATGCGCGAGCACTCGTCGCAAATGTCAACACTGTCTGTTCATGTTGGTGTTGTTTGCAACTGTGCAGCCGAAAAGTCGCACCCAGACTACAGTAACTACGTGTAGATTTCGATTCAGGTGCAGCAAGGAAGCTTAGCAAAACATGAATGGCCAGCGACGCACGGTGCCTCAGGTGAGGTCCATCGCAGGCCCGGGCGGCTGGCAAGGCCTTGCCTGCTCAAGGAGTCTATGCCGTGACTTGCAGAAACCTCTCGTCGATTGGGCTTGCGTGGCCTGAGGAATCATTGAAGACGGCGCTGGCTGTGGAACTGCGCAGCCTTTGCACTCCAGCTACCGAGCTGTAAAACATGGCCAGCTGTGAGGATCTGACCTCCATTCATCACAGGGAACGCCCCCTGCGCAGGGGCTGGAGCTAAGGCATCATGCATAAGACTTCAAAACGACTTTTGGACTTGTGGCAGATCAGGACCTGTGCGACTTGTGGAGCCAGAGGTCTGCAGCCAGCAAGTCCCATGAATGGAGGTACCATGGCCTCTGCCGCATTCGAGAGTTCCGTGAGCACAGAAGCCTCGAACGTCGGAAAGACAGCTGAGCCTGACCGTGGGCCGGCATCTGGGGCCTCAGGGGCAACCTGGCAGTCGGTCTTGGTGATCTTAGCGGTAGATTCTGGGTATTCTAGATGCTGACACTCTCCAGTCGCACTGGAAGCTGAATGCTGCAGAAAGCAGCCACAAAGTATGATAAACTTGCATCCCGTCATGCGGAATAGCGGCTGCTGCATGGGCGCAGGCGGTGGGCCATGGGCAAACTGGAGAGCCTGCAGCTTGTCATGAGCTTCGAATGGGGCACGGAACATCCACCATCAAACTGGGACTATCCTGGCCCTGGCCAAGTTGAGCCTGCACGGTTGGATTGCCTGGAGCCTGGATGCTAGGCATTCGCTGTGGACCTGCCCGGGGCACAAGTCTGAAGACTGCCTGTGTTGCAAGATGTATCCCAAAAACATGCGAATGCGTGAATCCGAGGGGCTAACACGTGTAGTTTAGTGCAGCGCGAAACTGTCTCGTTGGAGGGTTGACTCCGGGTTGACCCCCACCCTTCCAATCTGCATGCCCGCCATGTCAGAAGGCAGGATGGGTTGTGGAATAGTGCACTTTCTTCAAAATTTCAAGACTGGCAGGATTCTTTGCCACCCGCAGAGCTGACCAAGTCGCACCGCAGGGACTTCGTCCGAACTGAAAGGAAGCGAAGAAGCGCGAACTCCAAGGACAGCCATACTCTCCGGAGTGGAAGGCCCAGAAAAGATCATACGCGAGGAATATGCAGCACCGCCGCGAACAAACAACTTGGATTCTACCAGACAGCGACGGCTGGCCGGATCATGCGTCATAGTCATAGCATGCCCGTCCACAACGTGCACTGCTGGTTGGAGTGTTGGGTACAGCAGTTCGTCGCAGCAGAATCGAAGATGTGCTGCGATCCGACTTGGTGAATGCTGCAGGCCTGCAAGCATTTTCTGTTCGTTGGCACCGAATTCCCTGCAATCGCGGTTAGAGAGCTTATGCTTGCTGCTGTGCCCGTCCCGATAGCAGAAGCAGCCTTAATCACATGGCCATCTGCAGGAGGAGGCATGACCCAGCATCACAAGAACCGAGGTGCAAATGTTGCCTGGGCATGGCGACGGCACCATGGCCGGCACCTCAGCTCCTCCTCCCCTACAGTAAATCTCGGCCTGAACCTGCATTCTCATGATTTCTCATGGCTGCCAACAATGACGCGCCGTACAATGGCAGCGTGGCAACCTGCTGTCTGAAGTCAAGGCGCTGTACATGGCACCACCTGCTGTTGAGGCATGGCCACAGCTGGCGACGCCATTTGCCTACAGCGCCCGCAGACTCTCGATGCAGTGTGGGGGAAACTTCAACGTGACACATAAATAGTAAAACTTCAGGGCACGCTGCGCTTGTGGTGCCACGCTGAAATGGTTTGCCACAGGGGCGTGTCTGCTCTCTGCAGCCGCCTGTGCAGCTTCCGCTGCCTCCGCGTTTGAGCTTTGCATCAGACTCATCAGAGCTTCCAAGATCCACATCGAGCCTTGGCCGCGGCCTCAGCAGCATCAGCAGCTTGCCTGGCTCGCCTCCCATGGCTTCGGCTCTGCCCTCTCCTTCTCCTACTCTGGTGATACAAATCAAGGAGACTGACACCAAAATAAACCAAACAAACGAGTCTTCACCAGTCTTCGCCTCACTGCTGCCCGCAACTCCTCCAAGGAGTCAGTAGCAGCCGCCGCCTGCGCCTGATGCAGTGCCTGGACTATGACTGCACGTGGCATACTCAAACTCGGACTCTTCACCACTCTTGTTCGGATGCCCCGTCTTCCCGTCTCCTCACCCGTCATGTCAGGACAGGCCTGCTGCGCAGAGCCCGCATTCGCCCTTGCCAGACCCTCTGCTTCCTCTCGCAGGCTAAAAACCCACACCGAAGAAATTAGCAAGTTCATAAGCCGCGTATACGAAAAGTCATGTCTGTCGACAAAGCTTGCACGTGGAGTCCTGCACAGCACGGCTCGCGGCGCTCAGGTCTTCCTGTCGCGGGTGGCCCGCCACAGCCCGACAAACCAAGCCGAGCTGGATGCAAACGACTCCACCCGGCTCTCGGCAGAGCTCTCAGAATTCTGCCTTCACCTCAAGCGTCTCCTTGGGGGGTGGGGAGTCGGCACCTGACGAGATGTTTGAGCACTGGCTCGCCATCACCAGCTTCAGGGGCAGTGAGGCCACCACCATCGTCCAGCACCGTGGCTGACCGGATGTAGGTCAGCTTCGGAAAGTTTGTCTGGAGGTACAGGTTCCTGAGAGCATCCATGCACGCGACAAAAGTGGATTGAGGGTGGGAAGTGCTGCAAAGACACCCCTCGGCATTTATTCTGCTTGTGTCCTCAGATAAGAACGTGCTGGAAAACGCACGGCATGCACTTCAACCCCATTCGAGATACATGTTGATGCTCATGGCGACCGTTGAAACCCTGCAGAACACATACGGCTCTTAACAATTAATAATAAAACAAATATCTACCTACGAAACGCTGGCAGAAGTGCAAGCTCGTATACAGAGCCCCGGGCAGGGCCCTGCCCACCAAACTCCACGATGTCGCCTCGGCCAAACTGCCGAAGCAAAAAGATGCCAAGAAGGGAACATGCGTGCAGTGCTTTAAAGCTTTAAAGCTGTCAAGAGATCCATTCTGCGATCTGGTCACCATAAACTGTTTCAACGTAGTCCAGCACATCCAGCGAGGCCTTCACACTCAAACGCTCTAAAGTTCTATTGATCACGCAAACAACAAAGCCTCTGCCACGGCCCCAATTGGCGTCTCCTTCTTGAGACGGCTTCCCATGCACCCGCAAGTGGCCGTCTTTCAAGCATGCACTCCAGAACCCTGCAGGTCCCACGACTTGTCGCCCAAGCAGTGGGACATGTCGCCCGTGCAAATGAAGAGCGTAGATTTTCGAGCATTTGGGCCTCCCGCACAATGAATGCAGCTGGCTACCTGTGCTTCAGCCTGCCTGAACTTAGCTTTGCAAGCCCATCCAGCCTATTGCAGCAAAGCTCACAGCACCCAGCAAGAAAGGCACTCCTGTTGCGCGGATCTCATCCATTTGGATGATTTGTCTTACTGACGTGTGGAAGGTCATCCGAAGGCCTGTTGGTGGGTCGTCCGGTATGGGTGGCCACGGTCGCTTTGGTGGCAGGCCGAACTGGGAGATGCAACCCTGGCAGGGGATGTGCTAGCAGTCCGAGGCACTCCTGACCAACTCGACAACTGCCTTGATCGCCCGATAAAAAGCGAGATTGCTGAGATCTCCTGAAGTGGCCAGTTCCAAGAATCCTGAGCACAACACACACTTGTCTTGTAGCATCTGTGCTGCACTCTGGCAACGGCCACGGCGAACCGTTCCAGTGCTATCTGTCGAGATGCGGCGTGTGCCGTGTGGTGCCCAATCCTTGGCAACAAACTATCGGCACTGCAGGCTGCCGGCTTCGCGAAAGGTAGCAGAGGCCATCACGGGCCTCACAATGATATCGATAACCCCCACTGTTGTGTCCAACCTTTCGGCTCACACTTCACAATGGACTTAACCGCCTGCGCTGCCCACCTCACGGTGTATGCCACGGGCTGCTCAGACAATGTAGGCTTGGGGCTTTCCTGCAGCCAATAACCGTGCGCGCTTTGCACTTGAAAATGATGTCCGACGCAAGCAAACAGCTCGGTCATCTCGCTGATTATGTCCTCCTGCGCCGGCTGGATTACTGGCGCACTCCTTCCGTGCAGCCGTCTCGCAGGTCGCAGCTGTCACTGTGGCTGACGAAGCAGTCCTCATCACCTCGCTAGTGGCGCTCGCATCCTCCAAGCAGGAGACCAAGATATTGCTAGGCTATGCTAGGCTAGTCGGCTAGCCGGCTGGTAGCTGGTCCTGTGTAGGCGCTATCGCCTCAGCGTCGTATCCAGAAGCGCTTAGGTCTCTGCTCTTCGCATCTCTTCGCCTCTTCGACCTTCAGGTCCCACTCAGCGCTGCCCTCAGCCTGGCTCAGGACCTGGGCCCAGCCGGAGTTCGAGGCCTTCGAGGTCTCGACAAGAAAGCGCTAAGCCGCTAAGCCGAGGGCCAAGACGCTTCCACCGCCACAGCTGTCCGGAACTCGGATCCGAACCTTCTCGGAGCCACCCCTGACAGGCCTCAGACTCTCCCAAGGAGCCCAATCTTCCGAAATGGCCGCAAGGCTGCACTCAGCCCACGACACATCCAACAAGGTGCCAGGCATCGCCTGGGACCCAGACGGCGGATTGCTGGATACTGTAGGCGCCATTCAGAGCACAGCTTCGATATCAAGCAAAGGCTCGCCATCTGG